TCTGTGGAGCTTGCAGCCAATACAAAGGTGTGGTTTATGGTTTTAACTTGGTCTCATAGTTGGTTATCACTCTCAATTACCAATAATCATAACTGGCTGTTATTTAGCTCGTGTTTTTGCGGTTTTCTTTTTCTTTTTAGGGTATCTGTTTCATCCGAACCAGTCGACCTGACACTGCAGTCATCTATAATCCTGAAGAGAAATTTGAAATTGGGAAAGCCAAGGTGAGGGAAAAAAAAACGATGGAGTTTCAAGCTACATCAAGAATTAGTTAGCAGCTGTGCTGAAACTTATAAAATATTGCCTTTAGTAATGCAGTGCACAAATATAGGGCCTTTTGTCTGACAGCTGTAAACGGTCTGCTTTAAGGGGTTTTCTTAAATTCTCTTTCTGTCCTCTAGGTGGTGCGGCAGTCCAGCAAAGATCAGGTGACCGTTATTGGAGCTGGAGTCACACTCCATGAGGCGCTGGCAGCACATGACCAACTAGCCAAAGAAGGTTTGTTCTGCATCCATTGGCTAGGATATTGTATTAATTAAAATCATTAATATTCCCAGTTTCATTTTAGACCAGGGATGGGCAAACTTGATCCTCGAGGGCCGGTGTCCCTGCAGAGTTTTGTTCCAACACTAGTCAAACACACCTGAACATGCTAATCAGTGTCTTTAAGATCACAAGAAATCTATAAGCAGGTGTGTTTGATTAGGGTTGGAGCTAAACTGTGCAGGACACCGGCCCTCCAGGACCGAGTTTGCCCACCCCTGTTTTAGACCCTTATGAATCAAGACTATTGAATCTTGTAATTCAAGTTGGCTATAATTTATCAATATACAGGATCCCCGCGTGGTCTTAAAGTCTTAAAGTCTAAAATTTAAAAATCGAAATTTAAGGCTTTAAAAAGTCTTAAATTCGCTCTTCTGGGTCTTAAATATTTTTGCACAGGTCTTATTTTTGCGATGTCCATGTAACGCTACATCTAATGCTCATTTAAATTCTTTTTTTGTTGTTGTTGCTTGGTTTTTGGGGTGTTGTAGTTCTTTATTTCACTAATCCAATTTTAATTTGCGGTATTACAACTACAAAAAGGTCAGCTTGCAATAGCCAATCAGCTTTATGTTATTAAACTCAGTGCGCGCGGCAAATGTGACGTCATCGCTGTGTTTGAGGAAGTGTGCTTTGAGTGCGCGTGACATGATTTCGTCTGGCAGAGTATGTCGTTATTTCACTGACAAATGTCGCAAGCGCAGTTTTATAAGTCGGGAGCGCTGTAATACGAGGGAGCGAATCTCTTCTCACGCGCCGGTTTCCTCTGTTCGTGGACAAAACTGCTCGCGAGCTCTCAAAACACTGGCTGCTCACGTGCGAATGATCTGCTCTCACTCCGTCGGACTCCTTTCGTGCTTTTGCTCTCCAGAGATGCTTCAGCATACTGTAGTATTAAGAATAGTGAACTGATAAAATGAAATGCAGTGTAGTTTTTCTACAGTAAAGTGTGGTGAATTGTAGAATAATATACCCTATATTGTAAAAAACAAAAAAAAACAAAACTAAAGCACTGGGTAGTTTGTTTATTATACACTTGTTGTGTTACCATAGCAACTATAGTATTACCACAACAGATTAATTGAAGCACTTTACTGTACTTTACAAAACACTGTACAGCAGACACTAGTTCACTTTATTTTAGAGATAAAATGGGATTGATAGTGACATTTATTTGAAGAGTGAATAGTACAGTAGGCTATAATACCTTATCAAGTGTTTCCCTATTTTCTATCACTGTTACATTTCTGCTTGTGTTGGTTATATTTAAATGTTGTTGTTTTTTTATTAGTATGGTGCACCTTATGGAGGATAAGGCAAGGCAAGGCAAGTTTATTTATATAGCACATGTCGTACACGGTGGCAATTCAAAGTGCTTTACATAAACAAGAATAAAAGAAACAAGTAAAATAAAAATAAAAACAAATAATAAAAATGATTAAAAAAACATAAAAACAGGTCAAATGTGATTATAAAAGAATGAAGGATGCAGCACAATATAAAAAATGTTTTTAAAATAAAACTTATCCTTGTCTTTAAGTGTTTGAAACTGGAAATATCTCATCATATAACATACAGCCAAAATATAAGACTGACATCTTTATGATCCGTCCATGTGTGATCATAGAAAGAACCAGATGACCAATAATTCTTGGCTAGAAATTGCAACAGCCATGGCAAAGGAGGGAAGTGTTTTTTAAACTTTGGAAAAGCCTGAGGGATAAGTTTGTTAAAACAAAAAAGAGGCCCCCAAAAAACATCTTCAATGATAATGATTTTCTTTTTATTCGTCTGATTTTACTTAGTTTTTTTTGGACCGCCCCCTGTCATTTAAAAAAATATCTCAATGGCGAATGCGTCAAGTATAAAAGCCTCATCTGTTCTGTGAGGTGTGCGATGCGAAGCCAGGCGAAAGTATAAATCAGCGTTAAGATGGTTTTTTTTCTTTTTTTCTGTAGTTCAATGGTGCATTTAACCTGTCTTTAGTACTGTTCAATTTAAATACATTTATTTCACCCCTAATTTTGTGCTTTTACATTTTCTCTCGCGTGTCTTTGATATTGCAATGTAGGTCTTAAATTTAATGCTTAATGGTCATAAAAAGGTCTTAAAGTCTTAAATTTGACATCATGTTATCTGCAGAGACCCTGATATAGATAAAACCATAAAAGATCTTACTTAAATAAGCAAGTGTATAATTCTGACGTAAATTGAAGAGTTTAGATGTGAAAGCCTCTTTGTCATCTGAGATTTTCTTCTAAAATGAGCATCTTTCTCAGGCTTGTGTGTACGTTCAGTAATTTCACTTGTTTAAGAGGAATGCTGAACATACTCCTAGGAGGCTGAGATAAATGCTAATTTTAAAATAAAATATCATATGGTACTTAGGGCTTTTGCATCTGAACCCTTCAGTTGTTAATAAAAAGTGGTAGATGAAACTGGGGAATGTGGTGAAGAAATATCCAAGTATGAGAATGTAAATTTTTCTTCCCCTAAGAAGTTTAAAATCTAAGTGATCAAGTTCATTTTTCTAGATGTACTAGACCACCATTTTTTTCATGCTGCTATAGTGTATAAAAACGTATATACAATTGTGATGTGTTCTTTCAATTTGCCAGGTGTGAACATTCGGGTTATTGACCCATTCACCATTAAGCCCCTGGATGCCTCCACTATTGTGGCGAGTGCTCGTGCCACAGGAGGAAGAGTGATCACTGTGGAGGACCATTACAAAGAGGGTGAGCTGCTCTTTCCATCCAAATAATAGCATTATTAGCGGAAAAGAAAATAGTTTTCTTAGTATTTTGTTACATTTTGTCCAAACAGAGGTCTTTAATGTTGGTTCTTCTGCTCTCATTGTAGGTGGTCTGGGCGAGGCTGTTCTGTCTGCTGTGGGTGAAGAGCCTGGCATTGTGGTGCACCGGCTGGCCGTGAGCCGTGTGCCCAGAAGTGGGAAACCACAGGAGCTGCTGGACATGTTTGGCATCAGTGCCAAATGTATTGTTGCTGCCGTCAAGCGTACTTTCGCCAACTGAAACTGTTTGAACCACCCTGAGCTACACCCTTCCTCTTTCTCCACTCCTAACCCAGACCCCATAGACAAGCTCACCACACAATCCATATCATTCCAGCAGCTTACGGCTTGAGGATACAGCTAACTTCTCAACTCTTAATGCGTGCATTGTAGTTTACAGTGTCCTTCACAGCTCTGAAATGCTTCCATTTTGTGTCATCATTGGTTTTGCCTTGACCGCTTTAAATGCTACATTTAAAAGTGTTTTTAAAAGATTTGGAGGTTTATCAGAGTGCATTAATGGATTAGATCAGAATGAAAGTATTGTTAACGGACCGTTTCAAAAGTCATTTCATCTTTCCAATTGCTTTTGGCTGTGCTTCCTGTAATTACATGCTAGTTTGAACAAATACATTTGACGATGGCTGTGATGATGCTTTCAGGGAGTAAAAAATAAATACAAAATATATATCTATTTTTTTTTACTGCTGTGTTAACCACTGGACAACCCAGGTTTGGAAAGTTGAACTTGAATGGTTTGGTTTTGGTGACTTGATGAAACGTCACGTTACTGAGATGCCCTCACTGTTGTTGTTTTTTCACCTGTAGTTTTCACTCAATTTGGTAATGTTAATAAATTCAACTGCCCATCTAATCTGCCTATTTGCTTTATAAGTGTAGGTAGTGTGTGTGTGTGTGTGTGTGTGTGTGTGTGTGTGTGTGTGTGTGTGTGTGTATATGAATGTATATCTTGAAGAGCCTTTTGGTTAATGAAGACAATGAGGTAGCTAAATGAATGTAGTTGGATACACTACAAATTTTGTACTGGTAATTATAAAGCATGTTTGTCTCTGGAGAGCAACTGTGTACTGCAAGGTGTTTTCTTCTTTTCTTTTTTTTTCTTTTTTTTACTGAAAGTGTAAAGAACTTCCATTTAGGACACAATACTAGGAAAGTCCCAGACAAATGTTTCATAGCAAAGCCCAGCAAAAAATTTTGTGTTTAATAGGCGTCTAATGAACATCTAAGAGTAGACAGCTTGGCTAAAACAAGGCTAAACTTACGCTGTCAGCAGAAATCTAATAGACATATAAGAATAGCCCGATGAACCGATTAGACTTTATATGTGTAATCATTAATTTTTGTTTATTTGACGTCTATTAGATTTTCCGTGACAGCCCAAATTTAGCTTGGTTTTAGCCAAGACGACTATATTTAAACATCTATGAGACCTCTTTTAAAAACAAAAAATGTTTGCTGGGAGCATTCAAGTTTGTGTTCAGGCATGGGGGAGTGTAATTTGGTGTTAGAAGTTTTAGAATGTTTTCAAGGGATTGTATTTTTCAGTGTATAGGAGTTAAGACCAGCACATTTTTATAACGTGAGTGAACGCTAAAAACAGGTGTACATTATCTTCAAAAAAAACAAAAAAACAATTGTGTACAGAAAAGGTTTTTACTTGAGCACAAATAACACGAATAATTAGGGCAGCAGTATGACAAGACTGATTCACTTCAACAACCTTTCAGAACTAAATGAAATGCAGATCATTTTCCGTGCTTTCTAATTAGGTGTCCGTGTGGTGACGTCAGAGAGGCAGGCAGCATTGGTTCAGGGAATGAAATGGCTTCACTTGGCGGGTTTTTACTCGACACCCTTCATAAAGTCCAAGAACTCTGTTGGGATGTAAGGTAAATGCTAATCAGTTGTCGAAATGTTTATTTTGAGTAAATATCCATAATAAAGTGGTTGTTATATGAATTTACCGTCGTAGTCGATCTTGCCGTCGTTGTTTTTGTCTCCGTCCTTCATGAGTTCCTCGATGTCATCCTCAGTGATGGCCTCACCTGTGGACTCCAGCATGTTCTTCAGCTCATCCAAGTCAATGTAACCATCTCCATTTCTTAACAGGACAATAAAACGTGGTTTTGCAATAGATTTTGAGGCCAACTTTAACATGCTTTGATAAAAATACATACTTATCAAACATGCGGAAGACTTCAGCCAGTTCTTCTTCTGATTTTCCTTTGCTCTCCTCTTTCATACAGCGCACCATCATGACCAAGAACTCATCAAAGTCTACTGTCCCACTCCCTACATCCCACAGAGACCACCAGTGAACAATCAAATCCCAATTTATACACTTTCGGAAATAAAAATACAAAAGCTGTCACATACATGTTAGCAGGGGCGTAGCAACCAGGGGGGATGGGGGGATATGTCCCCCTTACTTTTAGAGACAGGCCATTTAACAGGTGATTAATAATTACATGAACATAAACTTTAAGATCTCAAGACACCCCCCCCCCCCCCCCACACACACACACAGACACATACTTTTAAAATGTCTGCTATGCCCTGCATGTTAGTACCTAATGATCTAGATATCTTTAAGATACATATTAATAGTTTTTACCTTTTCACAAGGTTTTGCCCCAGTGACAGGTTTTGTAACATTACCTTTATTACTATGAATGTACCATAAACTTGAGGAGAATAAATTATACCTTAAATGAATGACATACCATCTTCATCTACTTCGTCTACCATTTCCTGAAGCTCTTCTTGAGTGGGGTTTTGGCCCAGCATCCTCATCACCTTCCCCAACTCCTTAGTGCTGATGCAGCCGTCCTCAGCGTCCTGCACGAAGATGTCGAACGCAGCACGGAACTCTGCCAGGTACAGTCACAAGCACAAACGACACATCACAGACATTTATAAGTTGGAAAGAGAATAGTCATGTAAAATCACACAAAATCCAGCGATATGACAGATTTCAACGAGGAACTTACCATTCTTCTGCTCCTCTGTCAAGTTCTCCACCTGTTAGGTTCAAGAGAGAGCTCAAAATTGGCTCCAGTTGACTCAGAACTAAAAATACAATTTGTTGTAAGACTATATAGCTTGTCGTTCATCATAGACCGACCAAGGTATGTGCTTTACAGAAATGACAGCTGTCACTTGCGTAACGGTCTTCAGACACCAGACACCCTCATTGTTAAATGCTTCAACCTCAGTGTCTGTGACCCTTCAATATTTCATCAGCTTCAACCTATAATTTTCCCTAGTTTTGTTGATCAATTATTGAGCAAATCCATTTTGACAGTGTTTCCTGTGCCATTAGGCTCTGTGCCTTTAAAAAGGCTCCAGAGTAGCTCTCTCAAATGTCCCGTTTATTGATTTAACCTTGAGAGCTAACCTGCAGACAGTGCACTCATTGATCTGTCCGGTTGATTATTAGTTATAATGCAGAAATCTGCCATTTGTAGAGGAAGGAAATGGTCAAGGACAGGTAAGCTGTTAAACTATCATTTATAAATTTAAAATTTCGCTGACATTTGCATGCAAAACTATTTATGGGACTTATTACGGGGTCACTTTCCGTACAGACAGCCTGAAGGGGAGTTAAATGCTCATACATTTGAAGACAAAATTTGTAATTCTACTGTGAAATTTGAATTCGTTTTCAAATATTTCCCAAGTGATGTTTTAGTTAATTAGTGAAGTCACTGGACAACAGCGAATAAGATAAAATAATCTCTTAAGGGGCGAATAATATTGACCTTAGCAGTTGAACTTTTTTTTTTTACTAGAAGAAAAAGACTTTCTCCAGATGATAATAAGATATAATAGGAAATACTGTGAAGAAAATTCTTCCTCTGTTAAACATCACATGGGAAATATAAAAATAATAAGAAAAATTTTGTCTTCAACTAACTTTAATTACTGTGCCCATAACTTACCGCTGCTTTATATACATCATCCATGGCTGTCCCGGGTTTAGATTTTCCTTTTTTGAAATGGTCAGTAAACTCCTCACAGGTAATCCAGCGCTCCTCTCTTCACGGCAGACACAGGACAAAGAGTCCCAGGGCCACCTGCCTTGGCCTTTATGGCTGGAATGGATGGCTTAGAAAAGACAATGGCTTTTGTCACTCCCCTTTCCTATCAGAGAGAGAGCGAGGGATGAGTGAAAAAGGAAAGGGAGCAGGGCAGAAAGGGGTTAGGGATGGTATGGGCTATAAATAGAGGAGGAATTTCAGAGACAACAGGCAGGAGAACTCGAGTTATGACAATAAGTCCTTGGCACTGGTCTTTCTGGCCGCCTAAGCAACAATCCCATATCAGGTTCTAAACTTATCCACCGGTCACCTGCATTTGCCAATCATTTGCTGAGCAGCATCACAGCTCCATTCCTGTGCCAGGCACTGGTCATATACGTATGAACATGACTGTAACCTAAGAGACTAGTAGCACTGGTCCAATCAATCAGTGCTTGGTTGAAGGTAATTAACTTAATATTGCCCTTCCAGTAGGTTTCTTTGACCAAATCATATAGAAAATGTGTGATTTTTAATAATCTATAGTTACAGCAATTGTTTGAATGGATAAATGCTGTGAAGTGAAATAAATAAGCTGTGCCTGGATAGGTGCTATATTGAATTTAAATTTACTTTATGAACTTGTATATACAGTAGTGTGAATATGAGCATTATGAGTGGTACTATATCCACCATGTTCTCATTATCACATGACCTTGTCAGTTGCGTCGCTTCACTCCCATTTATAAATTGTTTTGGATTGCCTTATGGGATAGTAATGTGTACGTTGGATGCATGCTTCAGAATCTTGCTGGAAGCAGTGGGTACTTCTTGCATATTGAGCAAGTTCTATCAGCGTTTCTGCAGTTTACTGACTATTATATTGTTACAGACATGAATTTCATTCTTCTGCTGTAAGATGATACTATGAGAAATGTGATTAACCTTTGACTTGTGTAGTAATTTTATTCCATTCCAATATGTTTTATTTTGTGTTAAAAAGGAGCAAGGAAAGGAAGCATTGGGACAAAAAAGCATCTGCTAAATGACTAAATGTTGAAATTATATTTTTGAAAGAACATTAATTCAACCTTTTATAAACAGAGGTCTTTAAAGGGTCTTAAATCAGTGCAGAGAAAATGTAATAATAGAAATGGCATAAAATGTCACATGCTTGTCACATTCATCACTATTTAAAAATAGATAACATATAAAATAATTAAATTCAGATTTGTTTTCTGAGACATTTAACAGCCTCAAGTGAAATGCTTAAATATGTAGAATGAAAACTTATTTCCATGTACATTTCTGTTCCTATTCGCAGATTTTATTTTAAAGTTTGTGAAGTTTTTAATTAACTCTGATGTTTGTGTCTTCATGAAGTTAAAACCTCTTTTGTATTAAACGTTTTAGTGCAGTTATACTAGAGTTAAAAAGTATCATATGTTCTTGGCCTAAGTAACCAAGATAAACACATCTCTGAGTAAAAGATCATGGGAAGCATCTAATCTTTTGACATCCAATTACCCAAATTCTACCTTAATTTCTATAATTAAGTCCAGAGGTGGAACCTTACTTACTCACATCTTTTGTCATAGCTGCCTGATGGCATATTTTCTTATTTTGTGAAGTTATTTTTTGTCCTGGCTACAAAAGACATGACAGTTTTTGCTTTTTTGCATTTTAAATGTATAGTCATTTAGAATATTTTAGTTCCCTTTCTTACTTTTTCCCAATGTAGAAATCTGATTCATGCCATGGAAAAATATTCAAACTGCATATATGACTGCATATATACTGCATAAAAAAGCCCATATTTGAATTTTACATATAAAGATGTTAGATGCAAAAACCTCTGAATGCCATCTAAAAATTTCCATCAAAAATGAAAATTTTTCTAAGTCTTCTATGTTTGTTAAGATTATTCACTTTAAAGACCAGGAAAAGGACGCATTCTTTGCCATAAAAGTGATATCACTGGACATACACACAGGACCCTGATAAAAATGCTCATTTTAGAGGTAAATTTCAGACGGCATTTAGAGGTTTTTGCAACTCTTTATAAATATTTCAAAATGTTCACTTACATATTTCTTTTTTAACCGTTGGAATTACAATATGTACATATATGTTCAAATATATTGTACATGTGCTTATCTATGGTCAAATTTGTAATTCCAATGGTTGAAAAAAAATATATATATATATATATATATATATATATATATATATATATATATCCAGTTGAAGTCAGAATTATTAGCCCCTCTTTGATTTTGATTTTCTTTTTAAAATATTTCCTAAAGGATGTTTAACAGAGCAAGGGAATTTTCACAGTATGTCTGATAATATTTTTTCTTCTGGAGAAAGTCTTATTTGTTTTATTTCGGCTTAAATAAATTTTAAAAAAAATTTTAGAACATATTTATTAGCCCATTTAAGCTATATTTTTTTTTCCTGAAAGTCTATAGAACAATACATCATTATACAATAACTCGCCCAATTACCCTAACCTGCCTAGTTAACCTAATTAACCTAGTTAAGCCTTTAAATGTCACTTTAAGCTGTATAGAAGTGTCTTGAAAAATATCTAGTAAAATATTATTTACTGTCATCATGGCAAAGATAAAATAAATAAATCAGTCATTAGACATGAGTTATTAAAACTTATGTGTAGAAAAGTGTTGAAAAAATCTCCCCTTTAAACAGAAATTGGGGGAAAAAATTTAACGGGCAAATAATTAAGGGGGCTAATAATTCTGACTTCCACTGTACATATTCATTCATTCATTTTCTTTCCGTCCTAATCCCTTTATTAATCTGGGATTGCCACAGTGGAATAAACCGCCAACTTATCCAGCACATGTTTTACGCAGCGTATGCCCTTCCAGCCACAACCCATCTCTGCGAAAAACTGTACATATGTAAATATTTATTTTTGCTTTTTGCATTTTAAATATATTTTAGTCACTTACAATATTTTAGTTCATAACATTTTTAATATGTGTAAAATTCAAATATGAACTTGTATGTCACATATGTAATTTATATATATATAAATTGCCATTTTTGCGATTTCCATCTTCATTCAGGGTGTCTGCGGAGTCTTAAAAAGTCTTAAAATATCTTAAATTTAATTAAAAAAAAAGAATTTGTCTTAAATTCACAGATGTGTTGTGTTTTAGCCTTAAATCATTTTAAAAAGGTCTTAATTTTAAAAGTTGTGCAAGTAAAAAAAAGAAGGCTGACACCCATCCAATCACCAACAATCCATCAAAATAATTTTTCTTTATATATACAGTATATTTAAGTTTTTTAATTGCTAAGAGATGTTTATTTTACAACAGCTGTCAGAAATTGTTCAGCAAATTCTCTTAATTAAATTCCCTAATTAGGAAAATAAAACTAAAAACAATTACACAATTGCTCTGGATAATAACAGAGCAAATGCATTTACATGATCTTCCATTTACATTAAAAATATTTACAAAAGTGTGAGTGATATCAATATTTATAAACAGGCATGAACCTAAAGGTTTTATAACAGAAACTCATAAGGTTGAATAGTAGTTATACTTAATTCATTTTGACCAAAAGCAAACAAATATATTTTTTGATTGTTTGTGTAGTTTTCTTTATAATAAATATACTTTTAACAATGATAACATTGTCAATAAAATAAAAAGAAAGAAACATTGTTTTGAAAAAAAGTTGTGTATAATGTGTCAAAACAACAAGTTATTTGTTTTAACACAATAAAATATGGGATTAAGAAATAACACATTTTTTTGTTGTTTTTGTATATAGCACATTTTTACAACACAATGTTGCCAAAAGTGCTGAACACCATCAATACTAATACAATACGGTGATAACAGCAAAAGTCTGATCCCCACTTGCACCGGGACCCTGGTACCAAAAGAATAAACTGATCAGAAGACCTTAGTGATCTACCAGGATTATATACATGTAGGAGCTCTGATAAGTAAGGTGGTGTCAGATCATTTAAAGATTTAAAATAAAAACATTATTAGTTTAAAATCAATCCGTGACCTAACAGGCAGCCAGCCCAGAGAAGAAAGAACTGGGGATATGTGCTCATACTTGCGAGTCCCTGTCTGAAGTTTTGCAGCCGCATTTTGGACTAATTGCAATCTATTCAGGGCATTTTGACTAATACCCACATATACAGAGTTGCAACAGTCAAGTCCCCCCCCCCCCCCCCCCCCCGCCCCCCCCATGCAAAAAAAAAGCATGGATTACCTTCTCAAGGTCATTAAAAGAGGAAATGGCTTCACTTTTGCCACAAGTCGTAAATGGAAAAAAAAAAATTATTTCACAACAGAATTTTCTTTTTTGTTAAATTTCAGATCACTCTTGAACTAAAACCCTAGGTTTTAAACAACAGGTTTTTGATAAGTTGGCAGCTCACCAGAACGTAATAATTCCAGATGGGCAGTATCCCCAAACCTGACCAGCTCAGTTTTCTCCTCATTGAAATTAAAAAAAAAATTTTCCAATGCCATTGATCCAACTGGGCTATTACAATAAAATAAAATAATAATAATAATAATAAATAAATCTGTAGTGTTAGGCCACATATAAGTCTAAAATCTCATACATAATGGTCTTAAAAAGTCTTAAATTTGACTTTATTAAACCCGCAGAAACCCTGTCATCATTCTATATGTCTTAATCAGACAGCATCATTAACATGTTAGCATGAAAGCATCAAACTTAAACCAATGGCTCCAGAGCTTACATCACAATGATATGCTATGCTATTCTGGATCCCTCTGGCCTAAATAAAGAACCACCAACTAGCCTTTAACCTTCCCTTAAAAGACTGCCAGAGCAGGACATCACAAAGCACACACACATACAATTCACACACACATACAATACACACACAAATAGTGGGATCATTTTATAATAAGTTTTAAATTGCAAAGATATGAAATTTCAGAGCTTTGTAAAGTTTTTTTATTTTGGAAGTCTAACGGATAATCAGATTTTCATTTTCTGTCTGTTTCTTTGCATGTTCTCAGTAACCGCAGCCAGCTCATGCTGAGAGCATGTAACAGCTGAAACACAGTGCTGGTTCAGAGGACGTGTTTGGGGCAGAGGGTTGGACAGCGGACAGGTCAGCAGAACACACTCACACTGACTCACGCAGGACAGACATTTGTATGAGGACCGACAGTCTGGCAAAGTGGTTTTGGCAGATAGCGTAAAATTATAGATACTGTCTTACTTTTACCCACTGTTTGTTTGGACTGTAATACAAGGCCATCCAGAGATTCAGGAAGCTTATTTGTGTACTGAGAATTTTAGACAAAGGAATCGAAACATTGAGTCTTAAATTAATAAAAGTAACTTTAGTTTTTTTGATAGTAGCTGCAATAAGATGTTTATATTCAAATTATTAAGTAATTTAATTTATATATTATTATTATCTATTTTATAAACAAACAATACATGTAAATCTTTAGGAACATGAAAATAAAATTTAATTAAAAGTAAGCAAAAGATGTTAAATTACACGGAAAATTACCTTTTTTAATTATTATTTGTATTGAGTTTTTCTCAACATCCAAACATCTGAACATCACATTTAAACAAAACGTCTCCAGGACAACATAAAATTGAATAAATAAATAAAAAATAATAATAATAATAAACAAATAATGGCATAGGGGTACACGGTGACGCAGTCGGTAGCCTCATAGCAAAAAGGTGGCTGTTTTAAGCCTCGGTTGGGTCAGTTGGCGTTTCTGTGTGAAGTTTGCATGTACTCTCCGTGTTTGCATGGGTTTCCTCCGGGTGCTCCAATTTCCCCCACAGTCCAAAGACATGCGGTACAGGTGGATTGGGTAGGCTAAATTGTCTGTATGTGTGAATGAGTGTGTATGGGTGTTGCCCAGTGATGGGTTGCAGCTGGAAGGGCATCCGCTGTAGGAAACATATGCTGGAAAGTTGGCAGTTTACTCAACTTTACTCAGTCAGAATATGGCCATTTGAATAGAAAGAAAAATTCAAACATAATAATAATGATAATAATAATCCAACTTTTGGTCTTTCAAACCACTCGGACCCCCTTGGCTACGAGCCTATTTAATTTAACTTAATAAACTGTATAAAGAGAGGATTAAATAATATTTTAATAGCAGTTAAATAATTAATAGCAATATATATACTGTATTCATCCATCCCTACCAATGTCAAGTGCAAACCTAAGCCCTATATGCATAATAAACACACAAACACACACACACACACACACACACACACACACACACACACACACACACACACACACACACACACACACAAGCGCACACACACACACACACACACACACACACACACACACATATTATGTCAAAACAAACTTCTATTTTGGATGTGATTCATCTTTGCCCAGCACTAAATAAAACATCTAATGCCTGTAATAACATGACATCAAACTTAAAATGATGTCTGAATCTTATTTAAAAACAATATTCATTCTAATAAAACCCATTTTTGTCAGCTTCTGTTCATAAAACAACGTTTAAATCCCTATAATGAATTTAAATCTATAATGATGTCTGAATAAAAATCCAATTAAAACTTTTGAGAAACCTCAAAAAAGTGGCATGATGATGCCACAAGATGTGAATGTAAAAACATTATGCTTCCTAAGTCAACATACACAGTTGTTGCCCATTTTGTTCCTCATGTTGTCAGAGCAAATTTAAACAGTCGCATGGCAGTATCTCACTCTGCCGTGATACTTTATGGTGTAAATGTAAATGCAAACAATCTCTCCCTACACATTGTGACCCTAAGAGCTTGTCTGTTTGTATGTGTGTGTGAGACCTTCATCCAACCTTAACTCTGGCCTTTTTAAACATCCTCCTTTCCTCCCCCACAGTCAATTATACATCTCAAATCTCTCATTTCACAATAATTAGCCAAATTAGAACCGAAATTGAATACAAAACTATTTGGACACAGCTACAGTACAATGAAAGAATGTCTTTCGCTTCAGAATAATAAAGTCAAACTAAGTATAGTTACTCAAACTACTGTAATTGAGTAGTTTTTTCTAATTTTCTAAATAGTAATTTACCAAGTAGTTTTAAAAATGTGTACTTTTACTTTCCCTTAAGTACATTTTTAGCGCTGAATTGGTACTTCTACTCCACTACTTTCCTTTAACCTGCAGTCACTGAATCAAATCACACATAGAAGGTAAATTCCATCATGATAAACTACATCAAGACATGGGCACTTTATAATTGCTGTAAACTGTTTGGAAGCATTACAAGTGTCCAAAAAGAGGTCCAAAATTTTCACACGCATTGACCCAGAAACTGTTTAGATGCATGTCACGATAAAAAATGCTGAATATTTACTGTATGATGACCAAAATGGCCTTAAACACCCAGCAGGCACATGACGTCAACATGATGTCAGATTGTAGTTGTACCCTAACATCATGGGGGCGTTGTCATTTGTTTGGAAATTAAATTGGCATAAGAATCTAACATCTGGTCGAGGTCAGTGTCCAACGGTCAACCTAAAATCAACCAACTGTTAATGTCTAATGGTGTTACAGCTTGACGTTGTGTTGACGTTACCACCATTACATATGTCAGATGTTGGATTTTGGTTGGCGTACCAAAATATCAGTATTTGACTTCAATATGACGTTGGTTTCAGATGTTGGCTTGGCGTTGGATATTTTTCAGTTTCTAACGCAACCTAAATTTACCCAAATATCGTCTGACATATCATTTGACGTCATTATTGGACATCAAAATAATGTTGTCCTTAGACGCTGGCAAGACATAGAATTTTAGTCACCTGAAACCACAACTTGAATCTACCCTAATATTACCGTCTTATGATGTTATGTGCCTGCTGGGCAATAACTAAATTCACTACAGAATGTTACGTTTACACACATTAAATGTTTACATTTAAATGCATCAGCTTTTTACTGCATAATACTCACTACTCACTACTCTTAAGTATTTTTGAAAGGGCTACTTTTTACTCATACTTTGAGTAATATTCACAACAGGTACTTTCCTTGCACTACATTTTTAGGCAAGTATTAGTACTTAAGTATGATTTTTAGTACTCTTTCCACCACTGGAAATTACATAATTGGACTTTTTTTTTTAAACGAGCATGATTTAAATTTACATGTTGCAGACTAAAATGTTGTTTGATAAAAGGTATGCTCCCTCCGGAGTCCTCTTTGCATGGCTCTTGATAAGAGATAAGAGAAGCATACAAAATGTGCAGAGTGGTGGATCGCCTAACTTAGCCTGTGTTTCCTCAAACACAGACAGCACACCAACAATGTTTCTGACAGCACTTTTTGAAGATGCTGCCTACAAAAGTTGAGCTAATTTACTAAACAAAAACCTCTAAGTTGGCTTTGCCTTCTCTGGTGGAATATTATCTGTAATAACCCCTTTACACTGTAAAAAATATCATTAAGCTAGCAGTTTTTCATATTTTGTGATTCATGTTTTTATTTTTACTCATTTATTTATGCTTCTGAATTGCATTATGGAACTTTGATCTTTATTTCTACAACTTTAACCTTGAAAAGTTTGAAAAAGTAACTTTTTTAACATTTTTGATAGTTTAAAGTGATACATTGTTAGTGTTATATATTATGCTACAAAAACTTTGTAATAAACTGCCAGTACACTTTTTGTTATTGTAGACTTAATTCTCTATATATTATTTTTTATACGTTATATTATTTCAAATAATATAATTTTTTTATATATATATCCTAAATGTAAATAAAAATGTCAATAAAAGTAATTTTGTTAAACTTTAGACATGAATTTTCAACATCAAAAGTCTACAGAGCAGAAATCAAGGTCCCATAATGCAATTCACAACTGTTTACAAATTAGCCACAAAGTTTCAAATTGACGTGAAATTGTGTTAGTATTTCCAGTTTTTGCTACTGTGATATGATAAATCAACAGCATTTCTGAGGAATGACATGATGCACATTGCTCATTCCATCGAATCGTAAAACTAAATTTAAAACATAAAAAGTGGATTAAAATGTTGATGTCGACTAATTGTCAGCATTGACTTAGACGATTATATTGAAACCATCGTAGATTTCATTTTAAAGAAAAAAGCGCAAGTTTCTAATTATCGAATCCAATAACTTTTTGCAGCGGCTACACACAAATTATCCTGTAATCTCTATTAAACGAGGTGAGTGTGTATCTGTGTGCCATAAAAACACACCGCATTTGTCTGTCTCCATGCATGTGTTTGTTTTATGAGTTACAAAACCATGTCTTTCTGTTTTGGCGAGGTCTTTTTCTTGCATACGTGCTAATGGCAGCATGCCAGGCAGGAACATGTCGAGGACGAGACGTGGAGCCAGACAGAGATCTCTGTGCAGGGTCAGTCAGGCTGCTCTTGTTTGGACAACTCTCTCATTTGTCCATCTCAAGTGCTACAAGGTGTGAACTCTGTGTCATTGTGGCATGACGTGACTGACATTGACCATCATTTCTCTCTCTCTCTCTCCCTGTCGCTCTGTCTCTCTCTCTTTTCCAAATCTCTAGTGTTTGCTGGCTTTATAAGGAGGGGTTGATATTTTTGTGAACTCCTGGCAATGTTGGTCCTCATGCACGTCTAACCACGTACTGTAATCTCCTCCCTGATTTCTTCTCCTCCTCCTCTGCTTCTCGCTGCTGACTAAGAGGGAATTTAAGAGGGCAGCTGGAGGTGAGCCCGCAGGTACACAGTGAGCATCTGAACAGATCGGATCAGGACCATGCAGGCTCTTTTGGTGTTCTGTGTATGCTTAGGGGCTTTAGTGGCTAAAGGAGAAGCCTTCAATGTACTGGATTCGCTGATTAAACTGGCTGGTGTTTCAAACTCGCAGCATCAACTGGTGGATTCTTCTTCAGCATCAGGTGCGTAGACCAGTAATTACAGTGATGTTCATTATAGGAGCTGTGGCACAGGATGAAATCTCAGGGCTGGACAGATAAGACAATTGTGAGGAGTTTGAGTTTCTCGAAGTGGTTTAGTTAGGAAAAATCTCATTGAAATGGCTTTTACAAGAGAAAGAAAAAACACAAGAAGTAACAAGCAGTACTTTAAGTAACAAGAATTTATGAATTAATTAAAGAAAAGCATTTTGCGATGGAATGTACACAAATCTGAATTCACAAGTCTGCATTTACAGTGATTTTTGAAGTGTTTGAATACTTAATGATATTTCATTTAAATGCAAGCATTGTATTTTATTTGATGATGAAATCTAAAAGCAAGTGGTTATTGCAATCATTAGAATTTTGTCTGAGCTACAGTAACTTCACTTTTCTGGACCATTTTTACAGGAACAGGATTTTAGCTCTCATATTCACCCAACTGTCCTAGTGGAATCACTACACATGGAAAGCACACACACACACACACACACACACACACACACACACACACACACACACACACACACACACACACATATATATATATATATATATATATATATATATATATATATATATATATATATATATATATATATATATATATATATATATATATATAAACATGTTTATTACAATATATATGATTTAGTACAAACAATGTTTTTATTTAACTATGAGTAATATGTTTATAGGTTCATTGTTTAAAACCTTGTGAAAACTTTCAGGGTTTTGCTTGAAAAGTGCACTTTGGCTGATTTTCTTTAAAATAAACAGAACTTGGATATAACGGAGTGATGTTCATATGTTCTTAATTGTGACTTAATTAAACTTTTTGGCCTCTACTATACCTTGTTTAAAAGTGTGCAGTTTGTAAGGATTTTTGGAAGTTTCAAAAAGTTTGTAAAGTCTCTCCAGAAAAAAAAAATTATTTTGTAAAATATCTGAAAAAAACACCTTAATTGAAACTGGTTTTATTCATGCACTGTATAGGCAAAATGTCATTTTTAGAACATGTCTTCTGTGTCACATGATCCAACAGAAGTCATTTATTATTATGTCAAAAACATTCATGAAGGTTCTCGGAGGAATGAAGTTTTTATTTATTTTAACTAGACTTATATTGTTTTTGCAACAATATAAATTTATTGGTAACACTATTTTGATGGTCCATTTATGTATTAGTAGACTGTCTGCTTAATATCTGTTGATACTGCTCCTTCAATGGACATTTAACTGACTGTAAGAGACTTTGCAACTACATGTCAACTTACACTAACCCCAACCCTAACCGAACAGTCTACTTATAATTTAATGAGAATTAGTTGGCATGTAGATGCAATGTAACTTGAATTCAACAAACGGACCATCAAAATAAAGTGTGACCAATTTATTTACTAGATATCAAGTTAATGCATCTTTGCTTAATAAAATTCCTAAAGCATTTTGTCAAATAGTTTTTTGCCAAAAAAAGTTTTTTAAGGACAAACGATCAGGAAAAAAGGATTATTTGATTTACATATTTGTCTACATATTACATAGGCGGAGAAAAAAAAACATTTTTTTGGAAAAAAGATAATAATAAAAAGAGCATCAGCACGGGGGTGCAGTGGGTAGATCGATCGCCTCACAGCAAGAAGGTCGCTGGTTTGAGCCTCGGCTGGGTCAGTTCGCATTTCTGTGTGGAGTTTGCATGTTTTTTCCGTGTTCACATCGGTTTCCTCCGGGTGCTCCGGTTTCCCCTATAGGTGAATTGAATAGGCTAAATTAGTGTATGTGTGTTTCCCAGTGTTGGGTTGCAGCTGGAAGGGCATCCGCTGAGTAAAACATGGTGGATAAGTTGGTGGTTCATTCCGCTGTGTCAACCCCAGATTAATAAAGAGACTAAGCTGAAATGAAAATGAATGAATGAAAAATAACAAATAAAACCCACCCCCATAACAAGCCATTCATAAAACTTTCAGCAACAGAATATGATAAACAGAAATACAAATATATATATACATTTCTTAAAAAACTAAATTTGAACCCCTAAATAACTCATGTCTGGATTTGCAGGTGAACAGAGAACCAATCAAGCAGAAAGAACAAAGCAACAGAGCGACGCTGCCTCAGACACACAGGTGAAGCTTTATTTCTGTTTAAATGTCACTCTCCTAGTTTTGTTTGATCAAATAGTTTGGTGAAAAAAATAGAAAACAGTAAATATTGAATTCATGACAATATTTGCATCCCATACTAATGCCTTTTTTGTCCCACAAGCCGCCCTTGTTCTTACAGTGGAACGAGCATGTGTATTCTGGCAGTCCAAGATAGCACAACCATACCATAAATGCTAATTATAAGTCTATTTTTGCTTCCTGTCTTAATGCTTAACCTCTCATTTTCCACCTCGCTTTATTCCTGCCTCTGCTATTTGTCCGCTATATTTAGTTCCTGTAGTTTGTTCAGTGTGTTTCTGGTCATTCCTGTGACACTAATGGCCTTGATTCGGCCGTGTTCTGTCATCAGTCTGTTCTGGGCCGAACTGAGGGTGTGTGGGTGGAGCTGAACGCCGTGCTGGAGAGATGGGGCGGTGCTGCGGGGAAACTAAACACAATCCTGAGGGAACTCAAAGACGAGAAAAAACGCCTTCTGGACCAAGGAGAAGAGCAAAAAGCCAAGAAAAAGGAAGAAGAGGATGATGATGATGAAGAAGAAGAAGAGGATGAGGAGGAGGAGGAAGAAGAGGAGGAGGAGGAAGAAGAAGGAGAGGAGGGAAAGGAAGAAGAGGAAGCAGAAGAAGAGGAGAATGAAGCATCTAACAGCACTCTAACAGACTCATTACCAGAAGGCTGCCAACTGGCAGAATCTCGATTGTCCTGCATGCAGATTGGCCTGTCCGAACTGCCCGTCATCACAAATCTGGAAGTCACCATACTTGAGCTGCCTGGTAAGGTCTGGACAGACTGAAAGATCCGACATAAGTATATGCGTCACTGAGGCGCTCTGTAATTAATGTTGGTTATGTCTTGTAATAAACACAGCCGTTCAACATGTTAACCAATGCGCTGTCTTTCAGGGAATAACTTAACAAGCATTCCTCCCAGTGGTTTTTCCGGACTGCCAAATCTTGAAGAGCTTGACCTAAGTATGAACAGGCTGGACGACTCCTCTTTAGACTCGGCTCTCTTTATGGTACTGTCATTTCTTTATCCCTTTAATTACGCCAGTTATATGCTCCTATAATCTTTATAGAGTCTGCAATGTACATGTCTACGTTGAACTCCAAAATAGTTTCTTCTTAGTCAGGATTTTTAAGAACATATGAATTAAAAGGGATAAAAAGGTTACAAATTATAACTGCTAACTATACATCCAGCCAAGATAAGCCCAGATTTCTTCCTGTGAGCCTTCAAAAATGACCAAACACACCACTCCCAAAGCAAAGCCAGCACCAGGAAAATGGGAACCACACACTGGCCAGTGGAAAATGCCACTGTCGTTTTTGGACTGTCTCTGAAATGTCAGTAAAATTATACTCTTTGATGAGGTAAATAAGTGCAGAGTTTACAGTGACTATTTATGACGGTGTTGAGAGACCACTTACCACTTGAGCCTTGTTGAAAATCCATGTTTTACATTGTATCATTTTATGCTAGATATGAAATTACAGCTATTAATTTAGTGGTATCCAGAGATTCATTCATTCATTTTCTTAGTCCCTTTATTAATCCGGGGTCGCCACAGCGGAATGAACCACTAACTTATCCAGCACGTTTTTTTACACAGCAGATGCCCTTCCAGCCGCAAGCCATCTCTGGGAAACATCCACACACACTCATTCACACTCATACACTACGGACAATTTAGCCTTTACCGCATGTCTGTGGACTGTGGGGGAAACGGGAGCACCCAGAGGAAACCCACGCAAACACAGGGAGAACATGCAAACTCCACACAGAAACGCCAACTGACCCAGCCGAGTCTCGAACCAGCGACCTTCTTGCTGTGAGGCGACAGCGCTACCTACTGCGCCACTGTGCCGCCGGTATCCGGAGATATTCTGTTAAATTACAGAAAATGACCATTTCACAGATTTACAAGCAAAAACTGTAAAAAGACAGAACATACTTTATGATCAAATTAATTAAATTACAGTTTATTAATGTTGATAATTTGCATTTAAACTGTGAAAATAATGTTAAAAAAATTATAAAAGTAATTACTGTCATTTTCTAATTATTACTGCAATTATACCGATTATTGCTGTCATTTTGAGAGGGGTCTGGATGCAGACTGGTGCAGTGTAAATGCATCCAATGCTTTTTTAATGGGCTCACCTAACCCCACCCCTAAACCTACCCCTCACAGTGATGTCACTAGCTTCATTTTAGTGCATTGTGTCTGACATTGCATCACAAAGGCTGCATCAAGATACTATTGGTCATTTTAAAAATGATTACTGTAAATATATAATATATAATTGTAATTATACAGATTAATTAATGTGATTTTAAAGATTATTACTGTTTATACAGGTTATTATGCATACTAATTATGTGATTATAATGATTATTACTGTAATTATGCAGGTTATTACTGTAATTATACACATTAATGTGATTATACAGATTAATTAATGTATGCATGAAATCTAAATATTTGCAAATTTTTTTTACTTTTAACATACATTTAAAACAGAATCTTTTTTTGAAGAATGATTAAAAAAGCGTAGGTACAAATAATTGCTTTTGTTATAAAACACTGTAAATATAACCAAATACTATAGTAACATATATTCTTAGGATATGTAGGTTATACTCCAAAACAATTTGCTTGAAAAAATACAAAACTGTTATATATCTAATTTCTTTCTTTCTTTCTTTCTTTCTTTCTTTCTTAAAATTTTTTTTTACAAATAACACATTTGGTCATTTAACAACAAAAACACAACGCATACACAACAAGGTTGAGGATCAAATTGCAGTTTATTTAGAAAATAATCTTGCTATCAAAGGTTGAAACAGGAACAAACAGGTGCATACAGATAATCCCAATCGTAAAGGTGGCAAACAAAGTAAAGCAAAGGGTCAAACACAGCAAGGGAAACCGCGTCGCAATGCTCACTAAAAACACTCTTCACTAAAAACAATTTGACAGAATTACCTGTAAAATAACGTTTATTGTTTGCAATGTACTTTATTACTTTTTAAGGAAATTAATTGTATATGTTACTTTGTCAACTCTACTGGGCCTATTTTTTTATATTTAAAAACAAACAAACATATTAATTTTTGGAACAAATTAAAGCCCTTTTACACCAGAAGTGAAATGTGAAGGGAATAAACTTCAAGCTGAAATAAATGTAAATAGATATCTGTACAGACAAGCTCAAACAAACCTTTCTGCATTACATTAACAATAGAATGCAAGAAAAGAAAGTTTAACTCTCTTCAGCAATTAATATGAAGAGTTCAGATACAAATTCCTTGAAGTGGCTTCTGAATTTTTCTTCTGATATTACCATTTTTCTCAGGCTTCCATGTCTTGATTCAGTTATTTCACTTTTATGGTAAAAAATAGGTTGTTTTCATAGTTTTCAACAAGAAATAACGGACCATAATCATAAGAGGCTGATAAAAAAGAAAATTCCAGGTGGCATTTAGAGGTTTCTACATCTGAACACTTCATATATTAAGTACACAGTTCAGTTTCACATTTTATTTACTTAAACTTAAACCAAATCTGTTTCATGCATGTGATATGAGTAAATACATGTTCATGTTCACATTTAAGCTAGAACTACAGTATTTCAAATGTTTTCAAATCAAACACAACATCCTAGTAAACATTTGTCCAACGGCAACCTAATGTGCTTGGCCAAAAATGTTTGCGCTAGGATGGCATTAATCTGCAAAAATATGTAACACAAAACATTTCCTGAAAATACATTAATATACATTTGTAGTAACAGGTGTCTACAGTTATTTTGGGTTGCATTTATGCAGTGTATCTGGAAAGTATTCATAGCGCTTCACTTTTTCCACATTTTTTTTTGTTACAGCTTTATTTTAAAATGGATTAAAGTCATTTATTTCTTCAAAATTCTACACACAATATCCCATAATGACAATGGGAAAAAAAGATTTTTTGAAATTGTTGCAAATTTATTAAAAATAAAAAACCCGAAAAATCACATGTACATAAGTATTCACAGCCTTTGCCGTGATGCTCTAAATTGAGCTAGCTCAGGTTCATTCTGTTTCCGCTGATCATTCTTGAAATGTTTTAGCAGCTTAACTGGAGTTCACCTGTGGTAAATTCAGTTGATTGGACATGAATCGAAAAGGCATACACCTGTCTATCTAAGGTCCCAGGGTTAACAGTGCATGTCAAAGCACAAACCAAGCATGAAGACAAAGGAATTGTCTGTAGACCTCTGAGACAGGATTGTCTCGAGGCACACGGCTGGGGAAGGTTACAGAAAAGTGAGTCCTTAAGCATCCGGCCCAAGTCCGGCAGCCGGAGCCGGGGCGAGTGGTAATTTTCCAGCAGGATGAGAATCTAGCTGTAACTGGCCCGAGTGTTTTTTGCTATCTGGGAAAGCTCTCTCTCTCTCTCATTCGCTCGCGCGCCACACACTAACATACACACACACACACAAGCACCAAGCACACACACAGGCAAAGCTTTCTCTCTCTCTCTCATTCGCATAGCAATATCCGCGATATTGCTAGACAGCCCGCTCCCGTCCCAAATTAAACCCGTTACCGACCGCTCCTGCGATTTATTTGGATGCAGACCTCTAGATGAGACTAAAATTTAACTCTTTGGAGTGAATGCCAGACGTTACGTTTGGAGAAAACCAGGCACCGCTCATCACCAGGCTAAAACCCTCCCTACAGTGAAGCATGGTGGTGGCAGCATCATGCTGTGGGGATGTTTTTCAGCAGCAGGAACTGGAAGACTAGTCAAGATAGAGGGAAAGATGAATGCAGCAATGTACAGAGATAGTCTGAATGAAAACCTGCTTCAGAGTGCTTTTGACCTCAGAATGGGGCAACGATTCATCTTCCAGCAGGACAATGACCCAAACACACCGCCAAAATATCAGTGGAGTGGCTTCACAACAACTCAGTAAACAACTCGGCCCAGACAGAGCCCAGACCTAAACCCTATTGAACATCTCTGGAGAGATCTGAAAATGGCTGAACAACTCCACTTCCCACACAACCTGATAGAGCTTGAGAGGTACTGCAAAGAGGAATGGGCAAAAATTCCCAAAGACAGGTTTGCCAAGCTAGTGGCAGCATATTCAAAAAGACCTGAGGCTGTAATTGCTGCCAAAGTATTGAGCAAAGGCTGTGAATACCTATGTACATCTGATTCTTCAAGTTTTTATTTTTAATAAATTTGCAACAATTTCAAAAAATATTTTTTCACATTGTCATTATGGGGTATTGTGTGTAGAATTGTGAGGAAATAATTTCATTTAATCCATTTCAGAATAAGGCTGAAACATTAAAAAATGTGGAAAAGGTGAAGCGCTATAAATACTTTCTGGATGCACTGTAAATGTTATTTACATTTTTTGTTATGTGTAGATCAATTTACACACTGTTGTGAATCAGTTGTGAAATGACATCCATAGATTATGTCCTTTACACACGCATTTCTAGTTCATTAGTACCCTCACTGAAATTAAGCAATATGTCAAATTATTTGCACTGAGTGTTCACTTCGTTCAAGACATAGACAGGAGAACAACCATCATCACTCAATAAAGGGGAAATTAACTGGTGATCCTTTTTTAAGAAACTCAGATATTTTCTTGAAAATTAAAAAGTAATTTGTGTATTCACTATTTACCAGAAAAAATGTTTGATTTCATAACTTGCGTTACTTGAAATGCATTATGTCAACACTGAAAGGCAAATTACTATTGCACGTTGTTATTTAGGCTCATGATTCACTAGGCCAAATGCAGACAGAACATAATCACTGATTCCCAAGTTATTATTTATTTTTTCTTATTTGTTTTTTTTTTTTTACAGAATCTGACAAAGCTGAAAAGACTGAAACTTGATGGCAATGATCTTACAATAATTCCAAACTTGCCCACTTCTGTGGAGGATCTAAAGATAAACAACAATAAAATAACCCATCTGGCTTCACATGTCTTTAAAGGTTTGTCTTGTTTTCATGCCAGCTGCACAGAAATGCATTTATTCATTGCTTAGGTAGTACTGAGCAGAAGTTCTAAAATATGCTACAGGAGTGGAGTTATTCAATGATACCAGTTTTAGTATAAAAGTACTTTTATTTGGAGGCAGTGAGATCACATGACAAGCAAAATTGCTTGATTTATCTCGGTATAATATTGTAATGCATGAAACTTATATGTAAGGTAACAGCTTTACCACTGGGTGTCAGTGTAAGTCCAGGAATTAAAAATTAAAATGACTGAAACGTTTGTTTAAGAGTAAAGTAACTAATAATATTTTATTTTCTGTAGGGTTTAGTAACCTACAAGTGTTGGAACTGGCAGGAAACATTCTCTACGAGGGCAGCATTGCACCCTGGGCCTTCAAACCTCTGAAGGCACTCAAGTATTTACGACTGGATAAAAACAGATTCAGCTCCATTCCAGCAGGATTGCCCCCATCTATAGAGGTCAGTTCTGTAACCCAGTCAATGCTTCAGTCACTAGCTGCTCTTTATAGGTTTGTGGTGTTTATGTTTTGATATGTTTTGGTGTGTTTGCAGGAACTGAGGTTGCAGGAAAATCAAATAGTAGAGATCCAGGACAGGCTTTTGGACAAGTGTGTCCACCTGAAGGTGTTGGATCTCAGTCACAATCTATTGAAAGAGAACAGCATCTACCCAGAGGCTTGGATCAAACAGCCGTGAGTCTCACAAGCAGATTTTTATACCTTATTTATAAATAAAATGTTTATTGCTATAGGAATGACACGTTATTTTAACATTTATTTAAGTATGAAAAAAACAGAATGATCAGCATTAATCAAATGTTACATTACAAAATGTCTATTGACCTTATTCTTTCACGTATGAGTGGGCCTAGCCTTTTGAACCTTAATGGTTTAAGACTTCCGGTCTCATTTACTTTCATTGATTTTTAGCCATAAAAACTGCTTATTATGCTGCTCTATGTTGCAAACTTGTATTTTCTTATTATTTTGTTTTAGTTCATGTGCATTATCTTAAACACAACCGTTTGTAGAGCAAGTAGTAATTCTAAGTCATTTCCCCATAGACAAGTGAATCACAGAAAAGAGCATTGCAGAATAAGGTCAATATTTAAAACATGTTTTGCTTATTATACAAAAGAGACTACAAAGAAATCAGTATTTTTACGTAATATTTCAAACAATGTATTTTAATATTTTAAAAAGTATTTAAAAAATGTATTAAAATAATAAATTATTCATTAATAATAATTAAATAAAAAATAATGTAAAAAATTTATTTATGCAATTATGTATGGATTTTATTCTATTAAATATTTTTTTTATTATCACATAATTCCACATCTCCACATACTCCATTTCAGTATGTGCTAAATAATCCACATAAATCTAAATAAAATAAAAATTGACCTTTAAACATTTGTGTTTAAATATTTCATATGCTAAATTATAATATTTTTAAATACACATATGAATTAACAATTTATTTAATTGCATATGTTTAGAAATGTATACCAGCAGTTCCCAACAGGTGATCTTAGCCCACAAGGGGGCCTCAGTGAGCTCTGTTATTTGCAAACAGACCTAATTTTCAGCCAGGCAGCCCAAGGGCTTGCGGTGAACTGTTTTTCATTACAAAACGATCACATTTAAGATCAGATTTCTTTAAAAATCAGCGATCTTCACTGCCTGTTAGATATGCGATATGAAGTGGGTCCCAAATCAGACAAGAAGCACTGCATTCAATTCCATTTCCCCCCACAATGTCTTTAAAACATGTTTATTTTAGCCCAGTATTTTCAATGGAGTTTCTGTGCTAACCTGTTGCTAATGACAGCACTAGGGGTTACACAGTCTTTCATCTCATTTTATTCTTGAACAACTAAATGAAAGTGTGTATGAATTTTTCCCAGTTACGGGTTGCAGCTGGACGGGCATCCACTGCATAAAACATATGCTTGATAAGTTGGCAGTTCATTCCGCTGTGGCAACCTCTGATTAATAAAGGGACTAAGCTGAAAAGAAAATAAATGAATGAACAACTAAATGAATGCTTAAGGCATTTACCTAAGTGTATTGTTGACAGTACAAGGGTGAAGCAGTGGCGCAGTAGGTAGTGCTGTCGCCTCACAGCAAGAAGGTCGCTGGTTTGAACCTCGGCTCAGTTGGCATTTCTGTGAGGAGTTTGCATGTTCTCCCTGCATTCGCGTGGGTTTCCTCCGGGTGCTCCGGTTTCCCCCACAGTCCAAAGACATGCTACAGGTGAATTGGGTAGGCTAAATTGTCTGTAGTATATGAGTGTATGAATGTATGAGGGTGACAGGCCCAGACGACAGGCCGGCCGGAATCTGTAAAAGTCGTTATTATATGGACAAGTCTAAAATGGAGGACTTGTTCCAAAAAGCCGACCCGCAACCATACGGGACTAAGGCCAAAGAAGAAGAATAAGAAGAAGAAGATTGTAATGACATTACAACATCGATGCTGTAAAAACAACCTTGTGAATTTGAAAATAGTCACATTAAGCTTTCACTGGAAGTCTAGCATTGGCTTTTAAAGGGCCATGACACCCCCCACTTTCGGTTAAAGTCTACTTCAGAATTTTTTCAAAAGATGCATGATTAATGGGCGTGGAGCTCCGCAAGCATCGGGCAGGAGTGGGCGTGGCCAGCAGGGGAGAAGGGGAGAGAACAACTGTTGTTGTCAGTTAGCTCACAAAATGAGACAAACCGTGAGGAGACGCATGAGTTTATAGTTTACAAAGTTAAAATTCAAAGAAATGAACAGTGATTTAATGCCCTGCTACATTTGTTATTCATAATTTCATATACAGACAACCACAATTTATATCATTATAAAGATAAGTGTGTTCATGTAAACACTATAAATGAGGACTTCTCCCTCAATCCCCGTATCCAGCAGACTCGGTGCAGCAGGTCTCCTGACCTGTCTATTTTAACCATTAGCCCTGCTGGTAATCTGGAGGATTTAGGCAAACACAGCAGCACGGCGATGTGTCTGAATGTAAACAAACTCCTGATAAAAGACAGCGTCCGCCATTCTCTAATTCGCGTGCTGCTCTCCCGACAAAAATGCTAGCAGCACGCACACAGCTTTGCTGTATGATCGGCCCTGACAAGATCGCGGGGGAAAACATGCAACAAACCCCGTGGATCATGGAAACAAACACATACGAGCCTTCATGAACGGCTCAATACTATGCCGTGGTTTCCGTGTCTCTCAGCTCGGGCTTGACACTGGCAGGTCTGGCAGGTCTCATGAATAATTAAGCAGCCGGCTCTTCTCATAGGATAAGAAAACTCCCCTATGAATAATAATGAGAAACCGACGCGTCATCATTGCACTTGCAGTACTGCGCTACGTCGCTGATTTTGATCCCACCCCAAAAATCATTTTAAACCCGGAAGCTGAAATTAGCTCACAAAAGCTCAAAATTATCCAGTTTTCCCCACAATTAAAGCTGACAGGTGCTAACATTGTCTTAACTGATGCTCAACACACACACATCTGTTAATATAAAAAAAAAGTTCTCCGGGGTGTCCTGAACCTTTAAACTCTAGCTGTGCATAGAGCTCATTAGGAGAACCATCATGTTATTTTAGTTCTTTTTATACCCTGGCGGACCAAAAAATAAACAAATTTGTAATTCATCCTCCACAAAAATAACAGAGTCTCACTGATTTACTTTCAGCAGCTAATAGTAATGACCCAAGCATACTTGACCCAGGTGAGGAAGCTCTAAACATTTCGGGTCGCAGCGTTAGCAACACTAGAAACATGGAGTGCAGGAAATACCAAGATATTTACCTAAAGCAAACCCAGCCACATGCATTTTTTTCGTCATATTTATTTGTTCATCTTTTGACATCCATTTGGACTTTTCGTCATCCATATTTGCGGAGGGGGCCTTTCCATGTTTTTCAGGGGAAAAGGGGGTCTCAGGCAAAAAAAAAAAATGGTTGGGAACAATTAAATAAATTGTAAATTTATGTGCATTTAAAAATTCTACAATATATACATTATTTATAATTTGATTCATTGATTGTCTGATTGAAAAATATAAATATACAGAATGTTGTCAGGGCTGCGTTGAGGGCTAGAAAGGATAAAGGCATTTTTGGATATTACAATTTGTGAGATAAAAATAATGTCTGTGGAAAGTCCCCACAAAACATAAAAAACGGCAAAAGGTTCCTTTATCTTAGCTGTACATTTTCCATATTTACCACTAGGTGGTGCACAAAACACATGCAGAGAGCTGTGCCACAGTGGCGCCCCCAGAAAATTTTCTTAGGGGTGGCCAGAAGAGGCCGCATCAAATCTTGGGGTGGCACACTAAAAAATAATGAATTCAGTGTAATGTTATATTTTTGTATCTGGTAAATGAAATAATGTAGTTTTTATTAATTTAATTAATTCTTCTTGAAATATTGCAATTTATTCCTTGAAATAATTCAGGAAGTACATGGTCAAACCAAATAAAAATCTATGTTTAGTTTAAAAACACTTATATATATACTGTATAAATAACTCTTTTTTTACGTGCTTTTATAGTACATCATACGGTATATGCCAAGTCTAAAATAATGAAGATTAATGAGTTTATTATTCCCAGTGATGGGTTGCAGCTGGAAGGGCATCCGCTGTGTAAAAATGTGCTAGATAAGTTCACCTCCCTTGAATTGTTAGATTTGTTATTTAATAAACATAACAATTTATTAATATTTATTCTAAATAAATACAATTAATATTAATATTATTATACAATTATTATTCTAAATAAATAACAGAAATCAATCCCAAATATTACTGGAAAACAACAACTGGAGTGATATGCCAAGATAACTGAAGAAACCTTTTGCATGAAAATTAATTATGACAATTCTAAAGAATTATCTGTGGTCTTAGACCAGATCATGGCTGAGAAATCATGTTATGAAGTCTTACCTCCCTGACTCATTATCCATCCTTTCTGCTTTATAAAGCCATGCTTAGTGAAAGTAACATCATCATCATCATAATCATCATATTATATAAACTTTAGTCGACTTTCAAAACTCGCTGCGTGCCGACACCTCTGCACAAAAGGCTGTTACTCCGGTTTCACGGCACATGAGCGGCGCCTATTTTATTGGTGTGCATGGAAACAACCAACCGGGATTCACACAGGAGTGCGTGGGGCGCGCGGGAATGGTTTTCTGCGCGCATGCGTCAGTTTGCTTTCACCAGCATTGAACCAGAGGGGGAGAGCTACGTCAGTAACACCAACAATAATTTAGTGGCTGCATTTTATTTATTTATTTATTTAAATATTGGGAATTTATAAGTACATTTAAATCAATAATGTCAACAGCAAAATTATATTGGGGTGGCCACAGGGGTGGCCACTGGCCAGAGTTTACCGTGGGGTGGCCGTGGCCACCTCTGGCCACCCCTTGGGGGCGCCCCTGCTGTGCCATACCTATTGCTAAACTTGTAGTGGTAGAGCACAATTCCCAGAACCCGTGTGTTCGTCATCATCCGAATGGGCTGAAGGAGGGTGATCATTTATTCTGGCCTTGCTGTCATCCTGCATCTGCCTCATAGTTTCGATTCGACCGCAGTAGATGTGCTTCGCCAAGGTCTCCCATCCATCACTCATCCTCAGGAGTGTGTTATACGGCAGGCAGAAGCGA